CATAAAAGCAATGGTGAGAAATCAGTGCTCAGACGACCCACTGGGTAGACAATGGACACTTACTAACATCATGCTCCTTCCAGGAACTAATGATGTAAAATAGCAGGGAAGAAAGGGGCTTAAACATTTACAGAGAAGAATATACAAAGTGAAATGGTTTTTCATGACACAAATACAGATTTTGCATTAAAAAATGGAGAATGTCACACAGATCCATTTTTTTCTGTTGATGGTTATTTTGTGTTGGTGCTACGGTTAGTTTTGTAGGTGCTGTAAAAGCTCACAGGCACTCTCCTAATTATTTTATTTGGCTACAACAGTAAATTTCTAGTATGCCTGACAAAACCTAGCAAGGTACAGAATTAAGGAACAGGTGTTAACATTAAAAATATAGAATCTATCTCTGCCTTATGCACAGCGACTCTTCTTACAGAGGAAACAAATTCTGAAATACTAAAAATATCACACCTTTTGACAATTCAGAATTTTGGTCAGCGAAAATCCATTAGCAATACAGGCAGCAGAAGGTGTTTTAGTGTGTTTAGTGAACAGTAGTCTTTTCCCAGTTCTCCTAGTTCCTTTACGGTGCCTTTGTCTGCAAAAATGTCAAACCTTTCATTACCAGAAGACTCATTTGGCAGTATTTACTTGTTTGGTTTTGTCACTTTTGATGGATGTCTTAACAGATTTCCACTTAATGGGTATTACCTTTGTCATTAATTTTATACCTGTGTTTTATACCTTTTTGTTAATGGTCTGTAAATAACATCCTTCATTTCATTGAATATTATTGGTAGAACATCACCATGGATATTAGTACCTCATTGAGGATAATACAATTTAATATTGACCTTTTGTTTTTCATCAGCATGAGGCATGTTGCTGATTTATTCCTTGGCAAACATTAAAGGGAAATAATTCAATACATTGGTCATTTGGCTGTTAGGGTCTAAATGTTTCCCATTATTATCTCTGAGACATTTTAATTTATCCTATTAATTTTTTTCTGCTGCTGTAATTCTAAAGGATTCTTCATTTTAGACTCCATTGCAATCTCCAACTCCTTCTCTACCTTTCTATTAATTATTTTGATCCAATATTTCAATTTGTTGTCTTTTTAAATAGTGGGTGTTCTTTTTATTCACTCTATATAGTGCTTCAATTCTCCTTATATTTATTGTAATTGTGTTAAACAATTTCGGCGACTGCTTTCTACTTTGATTAGCTCATTTTTGTGACAAATCTATTCTATACTTCAAGCATCTTAAAAGACCTTATACTGTATCTTATCTCTATTTCTCTCATACTCCAGTTCCTTCATAATCAGCTTCCTGAAATTCTCAGCCTTGCTTTTGGACTCTTCAGAGTTTCAAAATCAAGTTCAAAGCATACCATATTATGATGAAGATTCCCTAATGGTTCTCTTACCTATTTTCCTCACTTTACAGTATCTTGGTTGTTTGAAAAGACTATATCAATACAGGCATTCTCTCCAAAGGGTCCCCTGACAATCTGTAAGAAAATAGATGTTAGCCATGTTTACCACATTCTGCTTCTGAACTCCCTGGTGTATTTTCCCAATCTATGTGAGGAAAATGAAAATCTCCCATGAGAACAACCTTTTCCTTTTTACATACACTCTTGATCTCAATACAAAAACCTACACAGCTGGTATAGGATTTTGGTGGACTATAGTATACTCCTAACACTATGCTTTTTGCATGTTTTTTATACAATTCTGACCTGCATAGATTCTAGAAATGTACAACTTCATTAATTCGAATGCTTTTTATTATAATACAAAAGCAAATACGATCTACGCTTGAGAAGATAATAAGAAGTGAGAATATTCATGATCCTATTAAAAAAGGTTCCTAGTTTAATTCCTGTGAGCACTCGGTTAAATCTTATTGGACATCTGATTTTCTATTCCTTTTCTGCTGCAGTGTCTTTGAAAGAGATGCGGCACAGTGTGGTGTGCAGGGCCTCAAGAGGTTCAGAGCGAAATTAAAAACCCTTCTACTTTACTACTTCACATAATTATTCTATTACTTTGAAATAGCTTAGCTGTATGAACAGGGTATTAATTATGTATCGTAATTGACTGATTCATCAGTTCACAGGAACATGGGCAAAGTTTTAAAATGTTTTTTTGTTAAACTTTTTGTTATTAAAGAAGAGATTTGAGCTGCTGAAGCAGAAACAAAATGTTCAAGTGGGTCTGTTATCCTATATCTCATGATAACACCATTTCTGCGGTCTGTAACTTGACCGGCATTTGTGGCAACACCTATCATACACTCCAAGATAAAATTAATGCAGATTGACTGGAAGCTGGGAATTTATGGCCCATTTTATTCACTACGAGATGCGATGTGGCATGTTCATCCATCACCTCTTTTCTGACAAAATAATGAATGCTGGTGTGTTTTGTAATTTTATGGAAATACTCCGGGAATTGATAGAAATTAGACTTGGGCAGCCTCTGTATATATATGCTTTTAGTTTCATACTAATACTGTTCATTTAACCACATATAATTGATGCAAAGCACACAGTTTTTGTAATAGTCATAAAACAACAAGAGGAAATGCATTATTGTGGACATTTCTTGGGTTTAAGACAAGCTGGCCCCTTAACCCCTAACACACACACACACACACAGTACAGACAGTACAGACAGACCCTGCCAATCTCACTTTTTTGTCAATTGCGTCATCTCTTGATAATTTGGTGGATGCATTTGGCAGCTGAGTAATAATGCAGCCCTGCTGCCAGTATGTCTTACTGCTTCAGTTTTCGTCTTCCTGCCCAATAGACAGACAGTGCAGCAGTGCATGAACTCTTGAGCACTGTGGCCATCAGTGAATAGCGCTCTCAGAATATTCTCCAAAATTTTTAATGAGAAAAGTCTGAAATACAAAAGCAAGGTAACCTTTTCAAAAGTCTTTGATCTCTTTCATCTTCACATTGGTGAGAAATTGAAATGGAGCAAGTCTCTAATAAGAGCTTATTGTGAGTGAGCATACATTTATTATTAGTCAGATTCTTAGGGAACAAATGATTAAATGGATTGTATAAAAAGAAGAGAAGTCCTCCATGATGAATAAATTTGTATTTCATTTTTATCTCTGCAAACCCAACATGACACAATAGAGATTAAAGATGCAGAAACAGGGGCTTGCAGTGATTTCACTAACAATTCCTGAAAAGACTGCACATTTCAAACAAAACATATTAATTATCTAAAAAGGACCACTGGAAACAGAATCATAATTTTGTTTAAAATCTATGATCCAGTGACAGAGATGGAAGGAGATGTTCAATGTTTAATGAAAAAATGAATGTTTAATATGGAAATAAAAATGTTTGGGTATTTGGTCATTAATCTTACTGTGTTTTATTCTGAAGAACACACTCATTCAATTCCTATCATATTGAAAGCCACATTTCCGCATCAATATCCTCAGAAGATAAAAAAATTCTGAAGCCTTTATTTTCTCTCTCAATTTTGCTGCAGAAAAATGTATTAACCCAAAAGACTAACTGCTTTTCACTGAGAGAACCACATTTGAAAAAGTCCCCTACATCTATATTAACTGTCATTTACATTTTTAAACAGTGGGAAGACAGGTCTGCTGATCATCTGAGTAGTACTGTTCCTTGAGTTATAAGAATACAAGGCTCAAGTCATAAAAACGCCAGGTGCTAGGTGTTAGGTTTGTGGATTGAATTAACATTGACAGAATGAGTTGATTAACAATCCGTGTAAATAGCCTATTCAAATAGACTTGATTTTAATTAATGCAAGAACAGTGAAAATAAGTCCTACTCAGTGAGAAGTTTGCCTGGTTGCGAACAGTGAGATTAAAGTAGCCTGTCTGTGAGAGACGCTGCCTAGAGAATGAAGTGTTCTGCTTCAACAACCAGTAGACTAGACCAGAGAAAGCAGATACCCAGCAATGTGTGGACAGGCCCTGTGCTACAGAGTGTCAGAGGATCATCACACCAGCCCAATACTGTCACATCCATCTGATCCAGGAAGAAGTAACCTGAGCAGGGACAGAATTCAATTAATTCCTTCCTGGGATTGCTGAATGAAGATGTTTTCTATGAAAACAAAGAGAAAGCAGACAAAACAGTTCATCGACCAATCAGCTATTTTTTCCAACTGCTATAATTTCAAGCACAAGAAGAAGGCATAAAGGGAGTTATCCCACGCTAATAAAAGAGAAAACATTGTTTCGTCCGTGGGGTGTCCTCCAGATGCGTGAGAGCATGAATATGTGGCACAGGGGTTGTGTACAGAGATCATTTTTACTCTCAAACAGAATCTCGTAAGCTGAAAAATAATTAGATGCCAATAACCTATTCATGAAAAACATGCACGTGTACTCAAATATTAAAAAGTCCCAAAACAAAGATTCAGACCCTTTTCCAGCTGCCTTTAATGTAAAAGTATGTATTTAAAAAATAAAAACAGAGAAATACAGCTGCCTCCCCATGCCCCCCATCCTCTCTGCACATCAATGGATGTAATATACTGTAGGAGTTTTACTGGAAATTCATAGTTGTAATTTATTCTCCTTATTATGCTTGCAACCTCAGCCCCCTTAGATCTGGGATGAGGTCTGTGACTGAATATCTGCTCTTTCTCCTGTATTATTTCTGGTTCCCAAAAGCTAGAAGACACTTTTTTGTTGCTGGACTTAATGAATGCTGAAAAACTCCCTGCTTTGATCTACACAGAAATGTTTACTTACGAAAGCTCTGATCCAAGTAACATTTACTGTTATGCATTGACTTTTAATTGCCCTATTCAATGAACTTCACATTTATAATTTATATTGTGTTTAATGTCCAGTCCATGTGGAAAATATTGCAAATGAATACATCTTTAATTGCATAGATATTCATGCAAATATACCATTACTGAATTCCTACCAATGTACCCTTCGGCAGAATAAACCCTCTTCACAAGTTGGTGTTTGGCTGTTTTACATTTTTATTGATTTTATTTTTTTGCTGTTGATATTACAATTACATTATAGAAAACTATTTTATTTATTTTCATATCCAAACAAAGATAGCTCCTCAGATTTAATTACTGCTGACACCTACAGACGGATTACTTTGCCTTGGCTTTGGGTGCACAAAAATAATCATGTTACATCACCATGTGTCTTTGGTTTTCTGTGATCTATTCAACACCAAAAATAAAATAAGTTCTGGGGAAAACAATGATGTGTAATGTGCTGAACACAATTATTTTTACCCTATAAACTGCACATTAACCTCAATAGTGTTACTGTTTTGTGTTTTTTCTGTTTAGTTTCAGTTTTTCAAGATTTTGAGGTTTATTTTCATAGAAACAGTTTTGTGGTTTTAAAGGTCCATGCACCACTAAAGAACAATAATTAAGCTGGACTGAGAAAATTAAAAAGTACATTTAGAAATGTTTTTTCTTCCCTGTGCTAAAACTATCTTTAGAGAGGACCAGGACTGATTGCATGAGAGAGTCTCGCACTTGAAAAGAAATTCTTTAATTCGGTCTTGCTGGTGAAATAGTCTCTTCATTTCGTCTTGCTGGTAAAAGTAGCTTTCAGATAACCTAAATGTAGCAAGATCAAATACATACACTGCAAGCAATTCACCTCATTCCACTCCATTTGGCTTCTTTGAGAGGTTTTGATCCAGTGTCAATTAGCACCAATTGTATGTGATGGAAGGTTCATCCACAGAAAGCCATTCATTTGGAAGCAGCTCAACATATTCAACACAGGCTGCTCAAAGTCTTACAGTGGAAATGATTTGTGATCATCACCGGTGATGGAGGAGGACAAAAGGACAGGAGAACTAGAGATGCAAGGCTTCAAATCCAATCACCAGCGCACTGAGCAACAGCCACTCTGGGGAACAGAAATACAAAATATATATAAATAAAAATAAACAGCTCCAAAGGCAAATGGAAAAATAAATTGAATTTGACCCCATGAAAATCTTCCTGCCTTCAATGGACCTGTGTGAAGGATAAAGTGTAAACTTGCTTGAATAGAACTTGACTTAATGACTGCACCATGTCACACACAGTGTGCACAATTCAAAATGATCTGACAATAAACAAAGTAAAATAAACAAAAATGCTTCTCTAATTAGAGAAGCCGGGAAGAATTTGAGTACTGTATAGTGGTAAAACCTTTAAGAAGACTGATGCCAGTAAGACATGCAATTATGAGGTAGTAAGCTGCAATTTAATTAACGAATGTTACTTAATTGGTGGCAAAAGGCTCAGTTAAACCTTTAAAACTTCACTTACAAGAGGGTTTTAGCCACATGAAAGGCAACAAAACGGCATGACATCTACCGCACATGTAGAGCGGTGGTTGATGTGTGTGACAGAAAAGCCCTGCTGACGTGTTTATTTAAAATGCAATGAATGTGCTAGAAGCTCTGCCAAGTGCCATCAAGGACACTGTCTGTACTTTCTAGTGAATTCTCATCTCGCTGGGGTGGATGGGGAGAGGTGGCGTGGCACAGAGGCAGGGCTGCATCCTTGCGCGACGAGACCGTAGACCGCCAGCGCCTGTGTCTTACAAGCAGCGGCGCACGGTGTGACCCGCAGGGGAGGGTGCCGGTTTATTTTACTTCTCCGGAAGGAAAACAGCTTTTCCCCGTCGCAAATGAAAGCGGCTCGCCGGTCGGCCTGCTGCTGCGCCGCCTTGATAGTTCAGCAGGCGGCCGCGCCCCCCCCGCCTGCACCCTCAACCACGCGGCGACTGTACTGGACCACGCGGGTGACGGGACTGAGCGATCTGAGCTTTCAGATCTCCGTCGAGGTGACCCAGAGGTCAGTGTGTTCACTCAGAAGGAAGAGCAGGGTGCCGGCGTGGAAGAATACGAACTGGCTCTGCCGACACACTCTCCCCTGCGCAAGGAGTGAGACCTGACAGGCTCTGAAACTTGCTGATCTGCTTGCAATCGCTCCAGTCCCGCTGCACTCAGCAGGTGTCATTATGAAGCAGTGGTGCTTGTGGAGTTGTATAATGGGGAAACGGACGGAATGAGAAAAATTGGCCATAAACACACTCTTTGTGGTTGCCTGAGTGGCAGAGTGTAGATTAAAACTTGTGACCTTCTTCACAGAGGGGGCTCACTAGCGTGGGAGTGCAGCACCAGCCCTACATTAAAAACAAGGTTCAAAACCATCCAGCTGAAAAGAACACATTATACTCTATCACTGCTCCAAGAACTGCAAAGATTTCCAATCTGTCACTTTTTTAAGTCTTAAAGACCACGAGGACCGGCCATTTTTTTATGATTTTGTAAGTTCACAGGGTTTAATGAAACTTTAAACCCCATTTTTGTAAAACATTACATAACCAGACATTTACATGAAGTCTAAGACCAGTGCCTGATTATAGCCCCAGTTTACAGAGAGAGTTTCATTTCAGTCTGCACTTACAGTAGATGTAAGAAAAGACAAGTTAGAATTTCCATTGAAGTACTGGGTATGTCAAATTTCTTCAAGAATATCTACAGGAGAGCACCATCAGTTTGCATCTACACCCATTCTGTTGTTATAAGCACAAATAAATTATGTTAAATATAAACTGTGTTTATCCAGACACAAGTCAACTATCTGTACTATCAAGGTAGTACTGTACTATCAAATCTAAACATTTTGCATTCAGCATTTCCTTCAGCTAATTTCACACAAAAAAGACATCATTAAAACATCTGACTACTTAAACATATAAGATACTGAGTGCAAACCAGGACGGATCCTGAGAACTCTGCTGTGTCCTTAAACTTCAGATGTAATATTTGTAATGAGATGACCTAAAGCATTTTTATTGGAGTTTTACGTAACCTGTCTTATTGTTAACTGAAATTGCCATGATTAGTCAGTGGTCAAGGAACAACAGGCATTGTTTAAAAAAGATCTTCTAGAAATGAAATACATACTGTATACAAAGTGTTGTGAAAGCATTTAGATTTTTCTAAGAAGGCACAATACTGTTGAGGAAAATGAGAGGAATCTTGTTCAATACCGAGAGGCTTTTTGAATACTTTTTGCATTATGTAGAAACTAGTACTTCAGAGTTAAATTACCATTGATTCACAGACATGCACAGTAATAAAGACAATGAACAACAGCTGCTTGAAAACTTCAGACCTTTCAATTTGTATTTCATGGCTTTTTCAATACGATGAATACCGATGCAGCATTTCTCAAAGTTTCTAGTGTGGCTAGCTCAAAACATAGCCAGAGATAAATGTAGATCCCTTTGGGGCGTTACTTTTTAATAGAGTGCAGGTAGGCAACAGATCCATGTTCAATTCTTAGCTACAGTAGGTACTGTAAGTAAAAAACTAGATAAGGTTTATTTTTTAAAGCAGATTTCGCAAGGACCAATATTTACATACTAGCCATATTAATTCATAAACAGGATAGCAGATTTAATTAGGTGAAGCAGATTGCTCATTAAGTACCTTTTGCAAACAAGGACATGTTTTTCTAAAAAAACAGCATCCGTGGAAGAATTCTTGTGGTACCACCGGTCACAAGGCACCGCAAAGCCATCAGCTACATTTGAAATAATTCTGACAGGGTCTGTCTTTCCTATCAAGGCAAATCAGAAAGGGTGTCCTAGAGTATGTATTTTTGAAGAAGTTAATCCCCTTGCTTTAAATATTTCATCTTCCTTGTCTACAGGTCACTAAGCCACTGGCATTTTCAATCTCCTGATAAAAGAGAATGCCAGAATCATTTTGTGGGAAGTGTCAAACACATTTTCGGTGAATGCTACGAATGCATTATTTAAATAAACGCGTTAAGCCACGTTTCTTTGTGGTGTAGAATGCTCCTTGGTAAGATGCAGGATTAAATAAATCCCTGTGTATTTCAATAACAAGCATGGCAGTGCAGCTTCACTGCTTTCCACTTCTCAGCAGTCTTAGAACAAAACTAAATGTAAAAATGGTGCAGTTATATATATATACAGTATATAAATATTCCTTGAATGAAAAATTAAACAGCAGCAAACTTGATGCTCTGAAAGTGAAGTACAAAAGAACGCTGGGGGCTGTGATCGATTCGGTGCAAACACATATGAAAATTTGGTATTAAACAGGATTTTCTAGCATTGCTATGAGAAGTACAGATTACATGCTTGAGGCTCTTTTATCTCAGTACAGTTTTTAAAAAGTACAGATCTTCCTCTTCCATAACATCCCTTGTACATCCAAAAAATTGGAGGAGTCTGTAGCTTTGATAAAGTTGTGCTGACAAAAAGGGAGCAGTGCAGGGATAATTAATATGCTTGGGCAATTTGTGGCTCATGTTTCGACTAATTGTTCTTGCACTAGCATTACCAATCGTATTAGATTAACAAGTAGCACATTTTACCTTCAGCTTAATTAATAGAAAAGGCCAACTTACTTCTTCAAGAGGGTGAAATCTCATTTGCACCCTATGTTATCGATGCCAGCAGTTCCAGGGAGGAAGAAGCTCAGCTCTATCAAGGCACAGTCCCAGGGGATGCTGGAAGAGAGAATCACAGTATCAACTATGCTTTAGAATCAGTGGACAGGAGACAGGTCACAAAGGACTGATCAAAGAAAACAAAGGGTATGAAGTCTTTTACACACCTGCATCACAACATATTGAAGAATAACTTGCAAATACTCTTGATGTCTGATCTGCAAGAGAGAGATGAAAGGGAGTCAGATTGAAAATTCAGAGCACATAAATTAATTTATAATTCCGCACAGCTTTGGTCATTATTTGTACATTTGTACTGATTCAACTGTTCAGGACATCATGCTTGTTCTTTGCGTATGGACAGAAAATTCAGGATCAGAAAGTGAACCCCTGCTCTGCTGGTTCAATGCGCACTGTAGAATTCACAGAGAATCCAGCTTCAACACATGGACTCAAAATGCAACCTGTATTATGATAATTTTACTACTGGTTTGGTACAAAACTCTTCACAGACTGAAAGATTCTATAGTTTCTGGGGGAACTTTGAGTGAATGCTGAGTTCAGCTTACACAGGAGAAATTAGTTCTGTGAGGTTTTGAACCCAGGACTTTTGTCTGAACTGAGAACTTCAAATTTATGGAAACTTATTATCATTGATTCGTCTTTATAATGCTGAACAAAAAAAAAACGATCATGTTTTACATGTACCGGTCAGGCATTTCCCTCTCTTTTGTCTCCAGTTAATAATTCTGAAATATCAATATTTAACTGTCAGGGTCTCAGAGGAGGTGGAGCTCTCTCCTCTTCATGTTAAACCAGTCTAAAGATAAATTGCTAACCCAAAATGAGAAGCTGTCAATGTCTGCCTTTTGTGCATTCATAGCCACATGTAATTGAATTGCTTTGAAACACCAGTCTCTTAGTGTGTGTCTTGCAATGTAAACAGTCACTAAATAAAACTGTGGCCATCTTTGCCATTACTATTTATTAGAGACTTGGCTGGAATAAATGATTCATGGGTTAGAATAAGTCACATTGGGTTTAATTAAATGTTGCAGTGACAGGCTGAAAACAAAATCACCACATTTTTACCACAATATATGTCAGTATGAAATGTTCTCAACATTTTATGTCCTTTAAATATGTTTTTACATTCCTTTTTCCCCCAAATGATTTTAACTGTGTGTCATGATCGAAACTGTGGAAGGTTTCAAGCCTACCTCTGTAATTTTCAGCATGCCCTTTTTTGTATTTTGAAAATGTCTTTGAGAACAACAGTCATTACAGTCATTACTTTGAGCACAATGACTTCTCACTAAGTCAGTTCTAATTGTAAAAAGTCACTTAGTTCTTAAATCCTGCATAACCTGGAGAATCACATCTCAAAACCTGCGATATGTGGACATCTCTACTGGGAATGCGTGCTCTCTTAGGGAACCAGATGATAAACTGAATTAAAAAAATGCACTTCATTACATTCTGATTATTTAAGAAAGGGTTCCATTTAATAAATGTTCAGACACTTAACACCTACAGTATTTGGCACCTATAAATCAGCCTTAATAGTGATCTCTGTTTTTAAAAAGTAAGATTACTAACGCACTCACACTTCATTGTACCGGTTTAGACTTATGAATATCACTTGGCTGATCGTTGATTTTTAAAACTCAGCGTCAATGAACAGAGAAACTGGAAGGTGAAACACCTCAATGCAGTAATGTGATGCACATGCGAAGATATGAAGTACCTTTCTTCAAGAAAGAATTTAAACTGATTGTTTCGCTCACTACAGAATCGTGCTGCACAGTATTGTATGTATATAAAGCAAATGTGATTGTTCACCTCCTGTTTTACATCACCAGAACCAACACACATTTTTCTCACCTGCCAACTGGATAAACCCCAAAACATGCCGTTTCAAGGAGGGCTTAGAGGGAGATAGTAAGGGTCTAGGGGCATTTTAAAATGAAGTCCACCCTTATCTGAGTGGCAGATAGCCATTAAAGCAGGAAGCATCAAGGACAGAAGCATCACTGCAACGTGCATCTGTATTTTTAGTCTTGGTGTGGTATTGTTTCTGTTGTGAGCCCTTTTTTGTTGCTTTCAAATAACCTCATAGCTCTAACAGGTCTTACAGACTCTTAAAGTCACAGGGATCTCAGTGTCCATTCCTAGAGTGCCTGGTGTCTCTGTCTTTGTTTCACCCACATTCTCAGTTACAAAGTTGGTCTAATTATTTAATTAGCTGCATAATTGCTATAATTCTACCCAGGCTCTCTGCTGAATTATCAGTAACTGTACCTTTAATAAAGCTTTTGTCTTGAGTAACCAACTGTAAAAAAAAAAAAAACATGACAAATTCTACAGTGTATATACAGTATGTCTAATTTTGAAAATAATTAGGCCAAACCTTTAATTGACCACTCAGGCTGGAATAAAAACCAGAAGACACAAGGCCCTCCAGGACCTGCTTCTGAGACCCCCGGTCTAACAGAAAATGAGTTTGACTAGCACGTTCTCATTCTACAGCACAGAAAATGAATGCCAAAATATGTTGTAAATACAGTCTGATTGCAATGAAGTGTACAGGTACAGTAGGTGCATAGTGAAATATGTCTGTATACCCTTTATGGAATTTGCATTTTGAGGGGGGAAAATACAATAAAAATATACTGTATACATTTGGACTGTATATGGACCTATATGTTACAAATGGAACACCAGTTAAATAATTATCAACTATAATATCAGCATATATTAAATGTACCAGAGCTATGTATTCTTTGCAGAGTTTGCACTATTGAAGTCATTGGAAATCTGAATTTGAAATACTTTACTTTTACTTTCTTGGGAACAGTAGGTTTAATATCATATAGCACTTGTCTTAAATTGACCAAGTACTGATGTTGTGCAGGCTTAACTGTTTTACGACCCTTTTAATCCTGTCCTGCATTCCCTTTGCAGTTCACAGACATATAAGCAATGCTTTGAAAAGAGATACTCCATCTCTCTGTGTCCTCTTCCGTCTAGGCTAAGAATGACTGCTTTCAATATCCACTTATTAGCAGAAGGCTGCAGTCATTTGCTATGTGTGGCATGTCAATAATAGCGTCAGTAGCACTGCACTACAAAGCTAAAGACTGACACTTTGTAGAATGCATTATGATGAGTCTTTTATAGCAGGATCCCTCTTTTGTTCTTCTCATTCATTGTTCTTTGACCTTAACTGGCATCACTGCAGTATACAGTATCTTTAAACTAGTCTGGTAAATTGCAGGCCCTTGCTTCATAGTAATTACTTTTAAAGGGAGAAGAATTATTTTGCATTTTCTGATATTTAGGAAAATTAGAATGCACAACATTTGAAGGCAAAATGTATTATATACCCATTAAATTCTGTCCTCCCTTAGCAGTTTGCAGAAACAGAAGCTTTGCCTTGAAAAGGGATATTCTGTATGGATTTTACTTTAATGTTATAAGTACTTGCCAACCGGTTACAGATGAGAGGAGGCTATTCAAAGCATTTAGAAACTATGTCCACAAATTAAAATTATATTGTAAAAACTATTAATGAACAGTCCATCTTGCAAGTACAATAACACAGCCTGATTTGTTACAGTAGTGTTCAAAATACACACAACCTTGACTCCATACCTACATACAGACAAACCCATACAGTATGGAATGCAGTGAACAAAGTAGATCTTTTTTTGACAGTTTTACTTCTGTCCATTGGATGAGACGCAAATCCGAGGACTGGACACTCTGTGGCCATTAAAAATCCCAGGGCGCTTCTTGAAAAGAGTAGCAGTATTAATCCCGGAGTCCTGGCCAAATTTCTCATTGGCCTTTACTAATCATGGCCTCCCAATAATTCCCATGCACTGTATGAACTGGATTCATCACTCTGCTCTCCTCCCCACTGAGGGCTGATGTGTGGTGAGAGTACTATGGCTGGCGTCGCATCATCCAGGTGGGGCTAAACATTGGTGGTGGCGGAGGGGAGTCCCCATAACCTGTGAAGTGCTTTTATTATTATTATTAAACCTATATTTTCTGGGTTGATTACTTTAAAGTTCATAGTTTGTTCTTACCAGAGGGTATGTTTTACAACAAACCTATTGATTGTACCATAACCATTCCATTGTTAATGAAGGTTTTGTTGCATTGAACCGTCCACTCTAGTGTACCACGAAACACAATTTTGGAAGTCACTGAAATAGAGTAGATTTCATGTTAAGAACTCAATGACTAAAACCAAAATGTTCAAGGGCTATCCAATGATAGTTCCAGTCTAAATGATCAAATGCTTTTTCTGTCTCTCAAGAAATTATTATAAGGCACCATACATTACCAGAGGCAAATCAAGTTTTCTGAAAGCCTGACTGATCACTGTGTATAAGGTGAAAAATGTATGTTTCTAGCTGGTTACAAAGAACCTTTGCTAAAAAGATTAATGTCATACTTTAGCATCAAACATAGTCTGTAAGTTATTGTGGATCTTAATCCTTTTTAAAAACTGAAAACTTCAATCAATTAGCCTGTGATAAAGAACTCAGTTGGAGACACAGCCTTCTGTTTGAACCAGGGTTGGAAAACACTGCATTAACCTGTTTTCCAGGCTACTCCTCTAATTATTGCAGGGCCTTATGGCAACAGACAACACCTGCGGGCTCCAAAGGTGAAGACAGGCTAAGCGAGTGAAACTGAAACTGGAACGGAGCGGCCAGATGGAGCTCTTGCGCCCAAAACAACGGGTTCTAGCTCTTTCAGCATGTTTGGATATAAACGTTCGGACTGGGGGTAACGTGACGAGTCCCCGGTCCTATGGCTCGAGCTTCGCTTTTCTTCTCAGGGAGTGACACAGAGAGAAACCGCAAAACAATTTTTTTGCTTCACAGAAAATATACCACAAAGAGAGTGCAAAGTCGTGCAAGGAGAAACGCGTCTTTCTGCAGTACTAACGAGGTATTTTGTTAGTTCTCCTTTTGTCTGGAGACCGGGTTGCCGGAGAGAGCTCAACGTGATAATTGACATTCACTTTAGAAAGAAAAAAAAACATATCATGCAATCAGCCATTATCTGTATCGCTTCTAAAACACTTTTGGGATAATTGTTACTCTATTCTTTTTTTTTGTTCACAGCTCTTTTTGTAATATTTTGGAGTCTGCTAATCTCCAGGGAGACTACAATGGGCAGCTACAATTTTGATGGCATC